TGTTTGATTCTATTCTTGCATCAAAAACAGACCATGTATCCTCCAGGCAGATGGCTTAAGTGTAGAATTGACCTAGTACTTGAATAATAGATGTTTTGTTGGTACATCAGGCTTTTATAGAAAACCAGTTAGAGTTTATGATTTCTTTAAGAATGAAAATCAGTCTATATCCAAGTAGAGGATAAGTCACAAACTATCGTTCAAAAATATACATTTATCCAGAATTGAAGTTAGGACCTTGACAAGGAAATTAGATGTATATTAGTTAGCATTGCATTTTTAAAGTATACCAAATCAGTTAAATTTTCATACTGTATTTGTGGCAGGCATATACTTTGACCTGGAACGTTTCTAGAATTTTATTGGTTACAGTTAAAATACAGTTAAAGATTCCAGAGCCTATTAAAAAAATTGACTACTCAGAATCCATTTATCCCCTAGCAAGAGAAAACACCCAGAGATAGTTTGAGAGTTCACATATTCAATGGAGATGTAAATATAACCAAACATTTCACCTGTAGCTAAGAAGTTGAACTGTCATTTGATAGTTGTGAAAGGGAAGGAAGATAATCAGTTTTAATGCCCACATCTTTGTTGCCTTTTAGAGCGTCACTCTCATTTTTGTTTTTATTTAGTTTTATCAATCTGTAAAATTATTAGTCCACTTTTTATGAGTATATTTTTGTTGTTGTTTAGTTATATTCTATTTATGTTGCTGAATAGTTTACAAACATCTCTACTGACAGAGTCTTTGAAATGTAGGTGTATATGACTGCAGATTTTTTGGTTGTGCTATTTGTTCCTGATATATACTGCATCCTGAGTGAAGGAGATTGGAGGAAATCTCTCCAAGGAGATAACATTTGAGCTGGACCGAAAAAGTGTATAAATTGTTGAGATACAGAAATTACGACATAGTTTATGAGGAAGTCATAGCTACCAATCTCACCCAAAAAATGAAAGCAGTTTTGAAAGGATGAGAAGAAATAAATTAAAGTGGTTATAAAATGGCTGAATCAGTATCTTATTAACTGGCCTTTAAGGGCCAAGTTTCTCATCAATGCCCTGAGAGATATTTTCAAATTAGAAGGTTTTGAGTCCTGTTAGTAAGCAAGTATATTTAGTAGCAACCACTCCCTGGGGAAAAAAAACTCTCATGATATGAAGGACTTTTCTGTTATAATTGGTTCCTTCCTAAGCAGGTGTTTTTGGATTAATCTAATTCTTAAATCATTCAGCTCTTTCAACTACATTTTCAGAGTTGGCTGTGTTATGAAATTTTAGCCCTAATAGAAAACCTAACTGGTTGCATGGAGCAGCCCTTGAACATTTTGAAGGCAGTGAATCGAGAATATCTGAGCTGTTACGTCATTGTCAACTGAGGGCTGACACCCATAGTGATTGTCTCCCTGTATTCATAGTGATTGTCTCCCTGTGTTCATAGTGATTGTCTCCCTGTGTTCATAGTGATTGTCTCCCTACATTCATAGTGATTGTCTCCCTACATCCATAGTGATTGTCTCCCTGTACTCATAGTGATTGTCTCCCTACATCCATAGTGATTGTCTCCCTGTATTCATAGTGATTGTCTCCCTACATCCATAGTGATTGTCTCCCTGTATTCATAGTGATTGTCTCCCTATATTCATAGTGATTGTCTCCCTGTATTCACAGTGATTGTCTCCCTGTATTCACAGTGATTGTCTCCCTGTATTCATAGTGATTGTCTTCCTTTGTGGTGTCGAGTTTGTTTCTGTCTTGAGCTTCAGGTGATGGAGTTACCTGTGCAGTAAGTCCATGGAACATTTGGAATCTATCTCGGGCTATCACTGGTGTGAGTGTTCAATTTCTGTGAGTTAATTTACTTTTTGCCTGATTTTCACCTTTTAAGAGAAGATAATGAGGATAATGCAATTCAAAGACGCTTACTCCTTGGAAGAAAAGCTATGACAAACCTAGATGCCATATTAGAAAGCAGAGTCATTACTTTGCCGACAAAAATCCACATAGTCAAAGCTATGGTTTTTCCTGTAGTCATGTATGAGTGTGAGAGTTGGACCATAAAGAAAGCTGAGTGCTGAAGAATTAAGGCTTTTGAACTGTGGTGTTGGAAAAGACTCTTGAGAGTCCCTTGGACTGCAAGGAGATCAAACCAGTCAATCCTAAAGGAAATCAGTCCTGAATATTCATTGGAAGGACTTATGCTGAAGCTGAAGCTCCGATACTTTGGTCACCTGATAGGAAGAGTCGACTCATTGGAAAAGATCCTGATGCTGGGAAAGACTGAAGTCAGGAGGAGAAGGGGACGACAGAGGATGAGATGGCTGGTTGGCGTCACTGACTCAGTGGACATGAGTTTGAGGACAGGGAAGCCTGGAATGCTGTAGTCCATGGGGGTCGCGCCCGGAATGCTGTAGTCCATGGGGGTCGCAAAGAGTTGGACATGATTGAGCAACTGAATAGCAACAGTGAGGGTAGGAGAGACAGCATATTTTCAAATTAAAGTCAGTCTTTCACATCTGAGAATTCTGTATCTGCCGATTCAAATAACTGAATCAAAAATATTGGGAGGGCGAGGCACGGAATTCCAAAGAGTACCAAAGAGCAAACCTTGAATTTGCCTGTTTACATAGCATTTACAATGTATCAGGTATTGTAAGTAATCTGCAGATGATTTAAAATATGCTGGGGGCTGTGCGTGTAAGTTATATGCAGAGACTGTGCCATCTTATATAAGGGTCTTGAGAGTCCATGAATTTGGGGATGGATGGTGTGCTGGAGCCAAGGCCATGAAGACACTGAAGCACGACTGTATTTTTAATTTACTTTTGTGATTAGTGCTGCCTTGAGGTTTCTCTTTAAGTCGTGACGATATGGTGGCTGATGTGCCAAGATGAATTGATTTGGAAATTTGGGAGAAAGGAAAACGAGGCCATCAGTATTCTGACTTTCCCTCTGTAAACTATATGCCTGTATACCTTCCATCTGGATATTTGTATCCTTTATAATATTCCTGATGTGCATGTGCTAAGTAGCTTCAGTCATGTCTGATTCTTTGCAACCCCATAGACTGCAGCCTGCAAGGCTCCTCTGTCCATGGGATTCTCCAGGCAGGATGCTGGAATGGGTTGCCATGCTCTCCTCCAGAGATCTTCCCCACCCAGGGATGGAACCCCAATCTCTTAAGTCTCCTGTGTTGCCAGGCAGGTTCTTTACCATTAGCGCCACCTGGGAAGCCCAATATTCCTTATAATAAATGAATAAATGTTAAGTAACTGTTTCTGTGAGTTCTGTGAGCTTCTTAAGCTAATCAGTCAAACCTGAGACAGGCTCATTTGAACCTGATTTATAGGCAGGGGTTGGAAGCAGAGATAACAACCTGGATTTGTGATGGTATCTAAAGTGGGGGCAGTCTCGTGGGACTGAGCCTTCAACCTATGGGTCTGCCGCTGTCTCAGGGAGACACATAATTGCCTGGTAGCTTAGAACTATGCATCGTTGAGTATGTGGTTGTGGTCTTCTCGTTGTAGTAGTATTTTTCTGACTTGAAAGTTTTGCATTAAGTGACCTGGGAGATAAAAATCAGTTACCAAGTGATGGGATGTTTGAAGGCTTTGCGTTAGCCAGCACTATGAGACCGTATGGAAAAAACACGGGTAGGTCTGTTTCTCATCTATTAAAAGAGCTTCAGCTTTGGGTGCTAATGATGGGTAAGCTAGCACCAAATTATAGAGACAGTTGGGTGCTCGATCAAGTCATTTGGATTCATGCGTGACTTACAAAGTGAAGGCTGGGGAACCAGGTCACATAGTTCGGGGTCCATGGTGGTGTTTTTAAGAATAGAGTGGTTAAGAGTTTTAAATGCCACTGAGAAGTGAAGTGAGAACTGAAAAAATGATAGTTATCACAACTGAATCCTCAGTCATTATCACAAACAGCACTAAAGAGGGCTCTGAATGAAGCACATGATTTGGTGGTAAATACTTTGCAGGCCCTCGCTGGACTGTTTTTCTGTGGCTTTCTAATGAAGCATGGTTCCTGCCCTACAGCATAGAGATACATGAAAACAGAATCAGGATGAATCAAGATTTAGGCTTCTCTACAGATTTAAAGACGGTTATTAGCTCCAGCAAACAGTGGGGCATATGTCCACAATCTCCCTTAGCTTCCTGTCCTAAAAATGTGGTGTGGGTAGAATCGTGAAAAGCTAAATTAGCCATCCTTGGCTTTGGGGAGAAGCAGGGCAAAATCTCACCAGGTGCTTGTGAGAATTGCCCTATTGGTGTGCTTTTTTTCCCCCCCTTCTGTTAATTGGGTGCCTTTTGTAGGTGTCAAGTTTAGATTGCATCTTAAATTTGTGCTTTCACAGCTACTGGTACCTCTAACTGCAATGTCCTCTGGAAAGAGTTCGTCCACTGTCATTTACTGTCCTGTCCTCTGTTAAACCTCTTCCAGATCCCCCCGGGCAGTTAGCCACTTCCTCTTCTGTGCTCTGCAAATCAGGTTATGTTATAATGATCTGTTTACAGCTCCCTCTGTCCTAGTAAACTGTCAGTTCCAGGCTGTTCTGGCCTTGAGAGGAGGGACCTTATCTAATTCCCCCTTTTATGTTCCTTGCCCGAGCACCCTGTTTTCCCTGTGGAAGTCCTGTAAACCGTGGTGGGATGGCAGAGGGGCTGAGTGAGCCTCCCAGGTCCTAGAGAAATAGTGCAGGGTGCTGGAAACTTTGTAAACCAAACGCTGCGTCAGCGTGTTAGTTCTTGGAGTTCCTGGTAATCCGGTCAGTTTGTTAGTTCTCGGTGTTCCTGGTCATCTTTCAGAGTCTCTTGGCAGATCTCTGCTGCTTCTTTATTGCTTTCTCCTGGCAGCCGTGTGTAGCACCACCAAGGCACTGCGATTCGGTAATCATATTATAAGTGTTAGTCACTCAGTCGTGTCCGACTCTTTGTGCCCCGTGGACTATAATCCATCAGGCTGCTCTATCCATGGGATTCTCCAGGCAAGAATACTGGTGTCGGTTGCCATTTCCACATGCTGCCATTTGATTGCCGAATTGTCTGCCTTCAGAGGTGATAATTTTAGGGCATATACACCGATAACTACAGCTAAGCCAGATCTACTAGAAAAATATATAGCTTCCTTCTTAGTGCATTTTATAAGTGTTTTGTTATGCCTGCTCTGTTGATGTGAACAGTTGAACTTTATTACGTAACACAAGGTCACATTGGCTTAGGGTAGGAGTAATATACATTTTAACCTTCATATATTGTGCTTAAAGGTTGTTATGGTTTGTGTCATTTAATAGGGACTGTCCTTTGCTTTCAGAACTATAGCAAAAGTTATTTTAACTTTTCTTTAATGTCTTCAAGAATGGGTTTTGTTTTCATTTTTAGTGTGAGAAGTTTAAACAGAGACTAATTAAGATTCACAAAATCTTCATTTTGGAAAAAAAAATAGGGCAGATCCATGAATGACTGACTACTATTCTAAAACATATGCAAACCCTTCTGGCTATCGCAAACTACATCAGCTTGCTTGTCTATATTTCAAGCTATGTGATGAAACAGTTTTGTTTTCTCAACTTGAAATGCTATTTTTAATTTTTGTTATTGCAGTTTCATATGAAAGGAGTGTTTTTTTTAAGCACTGGCTATGTTACATGCTAGATTAATTGTAAGACAACTCACTTTTGAGGTATATTCACATTTTTGTGTCATTAGCATGCTAACAAGATATTTTCAGTACATTTTATAAAATGGTTTGTCTGTAGTCTTATTAAGAATCACCTTGTTGGTTGAAGGGCAGGAAATGCAGAAGAGATATGATTGGTCATCAAATATGAGTTAACATTTAATTAAACACTTGTTAGGTGGTAGGCACTGTTCCAGTTGCTTTACATGGCTTTTCTCATTTAATTCTCACAAAAATCCCTTGAGGATTGAATTGTTATCTTTATTTTCCCTATAAGGAAATTGAAGCATAGAGAGGCTAAGTAACTTGCCTGTGGTCTGAAAACTACTGGAAGAAGAGCTGGTCTTAGAGTCATCTTACTCCAGACCTTACATGCTTGTAGCCAGTAACTGGACTGCCTTCCATGTGAACAAGCTCATGAAGAAAGGTTTAACCTCACTTGCAACTAAAACACACAAACACAATTAAAGCTGTATTTTCTATTAGATTTGCAAGGAAGAAAAATAATTGTCAGTGTCTTTTATGTGGGAAGGAAGTATAACGTATTAAGTTATAAATTGTTACCTCTTTTTGGAGTGTCAAGGAGGCAGATGTTGAAGACACACACATGCTTTGATCTATCCGTGTCATTTCTAAGAATGACCTTGCACAATACAAGAAGGCACAAAGGTATCTAGGCTACCTTAAGCACTGTTTTCTGAAAGAGATGGGCATACCAGACCACCTGACCTGCCTCTTGAGAAACCTATATGCAGGTCAGGAAGCAACAGTTAGAACCAGACATGGAATGACAGACTGGTTCCAAACAGGAAAAGGAGTACGCCGCCAAGGCTGAATATTGTCACCCTGCTTATTTAACTTCTATGCAGAGTACATCATGAGAAACACTGGGCTGGAAGAAGCACAAGCTGGAATCAGGATTGCCAGGGGAAATATCAATAACCTCAGATATGCAGATGACACCACCCTTATGGCAGAAAGTGAAGAGGAACTAAAAAGTCTCTTGATGAAACTGAAAGAGGAGAGTGAAAAAGTTGGCTTAAAGCTTAACANCTGGGTGTTCATTGGAAGGACTGATGTTGAAGCTGAAACTCCAATACTTTGGCCACCTCATGCGAAGAGTTGACTCATTGGAAAAGCCCCTGATACTGGGAGGGATTGGGGGCAGGAGAAGAAGGGGACGACAGAGGATGAGATGGTTGGATGGCATCACTGACTCAATGGACATGAGTTTGAGTAGACTCTAGGAGTTGGTGATGGACAGGGAGGCCTGGTGTGCTGCAATTCATGGGGTCACAAAGAGTCAGACACGACTGAGCGACTGACCTGACCTGACCTGAAGCACTGTGTATGACAAAAAGTTTTAAATTAAGTGTCCAATCGGAATCAGGTTTAGATCAATGTCATGGGCAGCCATCAAAAAAAGAAAAGTTAAGAATATAGTTACTGATATGGAACTGACCATGGTATATTACTGAATTTAAAAAAAGCGAGTTGCAAAACAGCATATATAGTTTTATTTCCTTATATTGAATAAATGTGTGTTTATATACACACACTCTGGTCGAAAAGATTGTTCACCAGAATGTTAACGGCTGGTATCTTTCCTGCTAAATGGTATAACTTAGTGATCAGATGTATGGGTTTTGAGTCCTGCTCAGTCACTTACTGGACTTCCCAGGTGGCTCAGCGGTAAATAGTCGCCTGCCAGTGCAGAAAATGTGGGTTTGATCCCTGGGTTGAAAGTCCCACTGGAAGAGGAAATGGCAACCCACTCCAGTGTTCTTGCTTGGAGAATCCCATGGACGGAGGAGCCTGGTGGGCTGCAGTCCACGGGGTCACAAAGGAGTCGGACACAACTGAGCAACTAATACTACTACTATAGTTCCTTTACAATGTTGTGTGGTTTCTGTCGTACACCAGAGTGAATCAGCCACACACACATACATATATATATTCCCTGGGTCTTAGATTCTCTTCCCATTTAGGTCTCTACAATTTTAGCTTTCTTTGTACCTTTTATTGGCTGAATTTTTTGAAATATGGCTCAACTCTGGAAACAACAGCAACCCCCAAAAAATGTTTTGAAAGGAATCACTTGAATAGGTTTGCTTATAGTTTTAACAGAAAACATCTATTGAGAGCTAAGGGTATTTAAAAATCCTCACAACACTCTTCACAAGCCGTTGGCAGCCACGTGTGCTGGTATTTTACCCTGTGCTGTGTGCCAACTTGACGGGAACTGAAATCATACTCGACTCCTCTGGCTGGAAGGCGTACGGAATCACAACAAACTGTTCCAGAGAAGCTGCCTCAGTCTGCGGCTGCAGTGACATGTTGGGCCGTGACGTCAGTCCGGTGGCAGACTGGCAGAGTGGCAGGCGGCCCCCCGGCCACAGTGCACTTCCTGAGGGCTTGGTCCCCGGGGCGCTCGTTTGGGAGCCGCTCAAGACAAAGCAGCAGAGTCAGAGTCTGCTTCTCCTTCCAGTATCCCCTCTGCCTGTAGTTGAATGTCATCTTGACGGAGGCTGGTGAGTAATGCTTGTTACTTTAATGTGTAATAATAAATAGCTGATGGCTAAATGAGCAGTAGTTCTTTTCTCAGTTAATGAGCCCGTGGTAAGTAAGCCTTAGAGCCCCAGTGCCAGGATTTACGTATTGTAGATATTTCTATAACTGAAATATTGTATTCTTAGAGAAATGTAAATACACTGTGAGGTTTTTTCAAATGACTTGAGCATTTGAAGATGTAATCTTCCTTTTGGTCTGTCCTTAACTTGAAGCTACATAAAAGCACAGTGGTTGCAAATTGCTTGAAAACCTAAAGATTTTCATTTATTTGTTTTTTTTTTTAACTTATTCAGAGGAGAAACTTGATTTTTTGTTTCTCACTTCACAAGAAAGAAATGAATAATTCTCAGAAGTTCCTTTGGAGATGTTAACAGTACTTGTTACATAATACTTTTATTAAAAAATATATTACTAGTCTGAACTAATTAACAATTGGCTGAAGGAGCTCTTTAATTAATTATTTGGGGTTATGTCAGCAATGTGATTCAAAATAGGAATCTCATTTATGAGCCTAAAATTTAAGAGCAGTAAGTTACTAGTGCCTTTGATTATAAAGGATGGCAACATGCCTTTTAAAGATTGATTTCTTTTTGCAGTATTAATTCATGTCTTTGAATTACACTATAGAAATTGAGTTAGTTTTGAAATCATTAGTTTCAGAAGGTTGGGTGAAAGTGTGTGTGTGTGTCTGAGTAACTATATTTTGCTTTTTTCCCCCTCCCTTTTGAGTGAAGGAGTGACATTATTTTTATTTCATACTGTTTATATAGAATAAACTGAAGCCTTTAAAATCTTAGGCTTTATCATTTCTGGCATAATTCTTCTCTTGCAAGTTCGATGGCAGCCTTGTTATTTCAAGGTTTTTTGGAGAATTTTCAAACAGTTTTCTGTTAAAGAACAGTCACTTTTTACTTTGTATGTCTAGTTGAGGAAAACACAATATAGAAATTCTTTATAGATAATGTTGAATATTTTCACATCAGTTTTTTGAAGCAAATAAAGAATGAGACTCTTTGCACATTTTTTTTTTTTACATGAATAGGATAGTTATTGAGAGGAAATGATCAAACTCAGTTTTTTATATGCGGATGTACAAAAATATCAATAACTGCCTTATTATGACTCCTAATACATTATACTTCTATATTTTTAGAAACAGAGAGTTATAGAAGTGGGGTTTCAGCTTCATTTTGTTTGACTTGACAGGCTTAATTCAAGATCCAGTTTTTTCCATAAGTTGTAGAATTTTCAAATTCTGCCCCAGTCTAGAAGCTTTAAGTATATAGAGAACTCATTAATATTTTTATTGCTTTTAAAATTTATCTCAAATCTACTTAAACTATTTTAACATGGTTTTAAAATAGCCTATATTCTAATCAGTAAGTTACTGTAGTAACGATAAATTGAAACATATTGGGTATGCATTCTTAACAATGATGTTTTTGAGGCATTATGACCTCAGAGGTCACTGGCCTAAATGCCACTAGAGTTCAAGTGAAGAGAAGCTACTTTAACTTTTTTGTATGAACAGGAAATTAAATCTGACAAAAGAAGGGAGGATGAGCAGAGCTTGGGGTGGGGGTCAGGGGGATAACCTGAAATTGACATAAAAGCCTGACTTAACTCTAAAGCACTGGGAATAAAGTGCTTGTCTGTTCATGAATACAGTGTTCTTTGAGGAACTCATTCCAAACAATACTGAAGCCTGGTGGTAAAAGATGATTGTGGTATTCTTCACATTTGAGATTTGGCTTGGTCAACTCAGATGGAACAGTATTCTGAAGCCCATTATAGTCTTGAACTATAT